TTTTTAGCTTCCTCTTCTGAGTGAGCCTGGTGCTGGCCCTTCACAGCTGGCATGCGGCACTTTTGAGGTGGACCCCTCTCAGGTTCCCTATCTGAATTCTTACAACCACTGCCTTCCCCTAGCCTTGGCTCCCAGCACTATTTTGCATTTCTGTTCTCTTTCCTGTTCATGGGGATGTTATTTTTGCATTTGAGATTGTCAGTATCTTTCTGTCTCTCTCCTTTGATATTCATCTGCCACTGTCCTTTGGCTGGAGTGGTGGTTAGGTAGGGGCAGAATCCGAATATGATTCTCTGTTTTATCAGCTTCAAACACTGACGATTTTCTTTTCTCCCTTTTCAAACTTTGTAACTTTTATCCCATTATAGTGTCTTGTTTCAATGGTTAGGACTAGGACCTCCAGCACCATATTTAATAGAAGCAGTGACAGCAGACATTTCTTATCTGTTCCCAGTACTAGATGGACTATTTTTAATGTTTCCCAGTAAATCTGATCCTTACTATAGGCTTTTAGTAGATATCCTTTCGTATGTTAGAGAGTGTTGAATTTTGTCAAGTGTTCTTTCTTTCTGCTCATCTGTTGATTTTATTTTAGGCAGTAGAGTGAACAAAATGGATTTTAAAAATCTCTGCTTTGTTCAAAAGTACATTCTAATGTGGACTAACTACCAAAAGACAGTAAGTATAATAAGTTGGTAAATTCCATAGTAGATTAGAAGGTGATGACTGCTATACAAATAAATAGACCAAGGTAAGAAAGATTGAGAGAAATGAGGTGAGGAACATAAGCAGGTTACAACTGAAATAGGGTGCTGAGAGTAGAGAAGAGAGCACTTGACAAGCAAAGTTTTAAAAGAGGGGAAGGAACTGCCATGTAGATGTGTGGGGGAAATGCATCCCAGGCAAAAGAAACAGCTAGCTAGGCAAAGACCCTCAGGCAGGAAGCAATCTAGTGAGGCAGGGCAAGGACAACAACTGGCTGCAACAGTGAGTGGTTGTAGCATAAGGCAGAGGACTCTTGGAGTGGGGCGGATTAGCTCAGCTAGGGCCTTACAGTCCATTGTTAGGACTTCAGGTTTCAATCTGAGTGAAAGGCTTGGAGACTTTTGCACAAAGATGTAACATGACTGACTTAAAAAAAAAAAACCATGACTGCTATGTTGCAAATAGACTGAAGGGGCCAAGAGAGAGGGCAAGAAACTCAGTTGCAGGCGATGGCAGTGTCTGTGAGAGATGAAGGTGGCTTGGACCAAGGTGGGGAGAAGGGTTAGATTCTGAATATTTTCTTCTGATGGTCAAGCCAACAGAACTTACCAACTGTATGTGGAATGTGAGAGAGAGGGAGGAGTCAAAGATATCCCAGGCAAGTTTGCAAAGCGTAAGAAACTGTAATGACTACACTGCTACCAATGTTGCTGATATTTCCTTATTTTCTATTTCTTCAATTTCAACTATTACCTTTATGTTTCTTTCCCTATATTTTATTTGGAATTACTGTGGTATTCTTTTCTGAGTTAAAATATTAACTTATCTAATCTAAATCTTTCCCTTTTCCCCCCTAACATTTGCATGTAAGGTTAGACATTGCTCCCAATTAAAAGATAAACTTAGGGACATGAACATTTTAAAGAGTTTAGTTGAATAAACGGTGATTCATGGATTGGGCAGCTTCACACAGCAAGTGGCTCAGGGCTCCACCAAAGGCGGGTGAGGAAGAAATTTTATAAGGTGCATATGGAGCAAGGCAAAGAAGTATTTGGTTGACTAAAATGGAGCAGTACCTTAAGGTCCCTCATCAGAGGTTAGTTGGCAGCTTCTGAGTGGTAAAGCTTCAGCAGTCTCCTAGGATACAACTCTTCACTATGAGTTGCGACTCAAGCCCTGGAGCTGCCTCAGTCTAATGGCTTGCCAAGTCATTACTTTAACAACCCAAGCGCTGTTTTAGCCACTCTGCAAGTTTTGGCATGTGCTGGTTTTCTTGTCATTTAGTTTTTAATATTCTGTAGTTTCCATTGTGATTATTCTTTAACCCATACATTGCTTAAAACTTTAAAAGGGTGTTTTTCTGTTGGTGGGAGTGTAAATTAGTATAGCCACTATGCAGAGTATGGAGGTTCCTCAGAAAACTAAAGATAGAACTCCCATATGATCCAGAAATTTCACTACTAGGTGTTTATCCAAAAGAAAGCAGAGGAAATTAGAATATCAAAGAGATATCTGCACTCTCATGTTTATTTCAGCACTGTTCACAATAGCCAGGATATAAAACCAACCTAAGAGCCCATTAACAGTTGAATGAATAATAATAATAAAAAAAGATGTGGTATATACACACAAAGGAATACTATTCAGTCTTTAAAGAGAAGGAAATCCTGTCATTTGAAGCAACATGAGTAGAACTGGAGGCCATTATGTGAAGTGAAATAAGCCAGCACAGAAAGACAAATATCACTTTTTCACACACATGCAGGAGCTAAAAAACTGGATTCATAATGATAGAGAGTAGATTGGTGGTTCCCAGAGGCTGAGAAGGAGAGAGGCGTTGGGAATAAAGGGAATAAAGAATATATATGTATTTATTACCACTGAGCTGTACACTTAAAAAAGTAAAGACGATTTTATATATATATATGTGTGTGTGTATATTTTACCTCAATATAAAAATTTTTTAAATCTTGAGCAAGATTCAGCAATATATGTCCATGAGGAATTGTGCCCAGGAGCTTCTCTTTGTGTGGGCTAGTAAAAATACCACAGGCACATGGGATTGACTTATCCTATTGGAAAAAACGGAAAGGGTATTTTTACATCTCCAAATGTATTTTAAAATAATTTTTGTTATTGATTTCTGGTTTTATTACATTTTGTTTAGATGATATTGATTCTTTGATGATTATTTGGGCTTACTTTGTGACATCATATGCTCTTTTAAAAGGACTCAAACTCTCTGACGGACGCAGGCTGCCCTATATGATCAATAGAGCAAATTTACTCACTAACGTGGTTCACGTCTCATGCTGAAGCACAGTCCTTTCATCTTTTCTTTCAAGAGTCAAAAGCTGGGGGAGGCTGATAAAATGGTGGAGTCAGGCATTAGCCCTCTCATTTGCTGTGGGAGTTCAAGCTGCAGGCTCAAGAGCTTAGGGCCTGCACTCTCAGAGTGGGCTTCATCCCAGGAGCCTCCAAACCTGCCTGCTTGGTCTGGCTCTGCGAGGAGGCTGGGGACAAAGTCTGGGGCTCAGAAGCAGTGATGATCCAGAAGGCCTCGTGGCTTGAGATGTTCTCCACAGGTGGGGTTCCCACAATTCACTCACAGCACTATATCCCAGAGCATCCCAGATCCACACTCCTGTTATATATGGGCTCCCAGTTACCTCTGATGGCAGATAATCACTCCAGAAACCTAAAGTTACTGTCTTCCTCAATAAAGGGGCCCACACAAACTAAAATCAGTAATCTGACCTCTCCTCTGAACCTCTGATTCTATGAATCACTTTGTCTGGTGTCAGCAATGCTAGGGCCATGATGGGCTTGTGTTCTGTGGGTCAGTGTGCACACTGCTGCTCCTGCCAGTCTCCCTGTAGGATGCGTGGGAGTCAGGGACCACACCTCTGCATCACATAAGTGGGGGTGGAGGTGGGATGCTGGGTACTGAAAATAGGCCAGATTTTCAGCTCCCTGGGAAGCAGGAGTTTCATGTTGCCTTTTCTGTTCAGTTTTTTTTTTTTTTTTTTTTTTTAGGCAGAGTCTTGCTCTGTCACCCAGGCTAGAGCGCAGTGGCATGATCTCAGCTTACTGCAACCTCCACCTCGTGGGTTCAGGCAATTCCCCTGCCTCAGCCTCCCGAGTAGCTGGGATTATAGGCACCCACCACCATGCCTGGTGAATTTTTGTATATTTAGTAGAAACGGGGTTTCACCATGTTGACCAGGCTGGTCTTGAACTCCTAACCTCGTGATCCACCTGCCTTGCCCTCCCAAAGTGCTGAGATTACACGTGTGAGCCACTACACCCAGCCTCTGTTCAGTATTTTTCAAAGGCCTGCAGTTACATTGGCCAGAGAATTTCCAGTGTAAAGGTATCTATTGTAAGGTGCTGTGAAGTAGCTGAGACTTGTTAATGCTCTTCCCTACCACCTGTCTAGGCCCTGGCTGGGCACTGGAAGGCTATGGCAGGGCTCTCGACTGCTCCTAAGGATAAGAAGTGATTAGGTGGGGCTAGGGAGTTGGAAATCCTTCTGGGATGGAGTGTTCAGAGTAGAGGCTAGTCCCCAGGGCAATTGTTCATTTGGCTGCCAAGGGTTCTATTTAGAATTCTCTACCGGCTTGCTAGGGCTGCCATAAGCAGTGCCAGGGACTGGGTGGCTTGAACAATGGAAATGTATTGCCTCACAGTTCTGGAGCCTGGAAGTCTAAGATCAAGAGGCTGGCAGTGTTGGTTCCTTCAGGGCGAGGAGCAAAGGATCTGTTCCAAGCCCCTGTCCTTGGCTTGTAGATGGCCACTGTCTCCTTGGGTCTTTAAACATCTTTCCTCTGTCTGTGTCCAAATTTCCTCTTTATATAAAGACTGTTTGTAGTCATATTGATTTAGGCCCACTCCTCTGGCCTCCTTTTAACTTAATTACCTTTGTAAAGACCCTATCTCCAAACACAGCCACATTCTGAAGTATGAGGGGTTAAGATTTCAACTTATCCATACTGGGAGATGAGACTCAGTTTAGCCCATAATAACAGCCATTTCACAATGGCCTTTAATCTCATCTAGTTGAGCAATATTCCTTCTCTGCTATTTTGTCCTTAGGCATGAAAAATATTCACAGAGCTTCATTACAGAAGTGATGCAGTCTGTAATAAATGAGTGATTATTGCATTAGCTGCTGCATAATAAACCCCATGCCTGCAGGCCTCTGTTTCTTGCTTCCTTCCAAGGCTGTCTTTCTTCCTTCTAAGAACAGATGACCTCACCTTGGATGTTTCTTGTTTTGTTTTGTTTTCCTCTAGGATATGCACCTCCTACCCGACAGACAAAGTGTGCTGACTTCCAGAATGCCAACCTTTTTGAAGGCACCATCCTCAATGTCCGGTTTCTCCTCTTTGTCCCTTCGAATCCCAGCTGTGGGAAGCTAGTAAAAGAAAGCAGTGACCTCCAAAACTCTGGGTTCAATGCCACTCTGGAAACCAAACTAATTATCCATGGATTCAGGTGGGAGTTAACCAACCAACAGGATCTCTCAGCTAAGAATGATCAAGTAACCATAAAACCATAAGAAGTTAGTGGAGAGCAAGAGGAAGAATGAATTTACTTATGGTCACATGTTCCATCCCCATGTCCTGCTGTCTTCGGTGGGGTCTCATGTCAACATGCACACATGCTGTTCATTCTTATTGGTCATATACGTTACTCCTTCACCCAGTCTTGTCTACACACTCATAAGCAGTACATGTCTGTGACTCTGGACAAATCTCCATACAGAGCCTTTGTTCCATATTCAAATTAAAGGGGAGGTCATAGGAATGATCTCAGTGGTCATTTTTTCCCTGAAGCGTGGGTTGCATGTCATGATTCATCTCAGACAATGACATCATGGGCTTCTCACAGTCTCTTGGGAGTAGCAGCAAGGTGTTTTTACCCAGGGTTGTATTTCCCCTTCTTCACTTCTTCCCTGGTTTTATGACCTAAGACACTTCTAGTTATGGGTGCTACTTCTATCATATCCAGAGATTATAGGCATGATGGAGCTATGCACTTCTCTTCTTCAATTTCTCTGATACCCCCCAGTCCACATATAGTCATTGAGTCTCAATTCAATCGCCATCCTTTCTCTGAACATCTTTTCCCCAAAGCCCATCAATAGGGCCAGAAACAGACAAAGGTTTCTGGGAGGAAAGATGGAGAGAATATGGTAAAATATTCTATGGAGCAAGTAGAGTTGGGGGCATCCAATGAAAAGGTAGACACAAAGGCAGTGCCCAGAGGATCACCATTTCTTGATCTCTGGCCTGTCTCTACCTCTCTGATCCCTGGATTCCAGGGACTCAGCCACGTATTTCCTTAGGCATCTCTCCTTGCTCTTGTGCCAAAGCCTCTCCTCTAGCAAACCTTACATTTGACCACTTTCCAAGGCTGAGTATGTATGTACCTCCAACCCAGGGATAGCTAATAGAGGTGGAAAGCTCATCAGGCCAGTCACTCTGTCTGCTCCTGAATCCCACAGCCCCATTCCCTGGCACACACCTGGTCTGCACTCCTCTATCCACATGAGCATGCTCTCTTGGCTTCTATACCAGGAGCCATCAAAAATCATATTTCCTGATCTCAATCTGTTGGGAAAGATTTCTAAACATTTTTCTATCATTTTCCTTTTCCTAGAAAAGTCCCATTATACTGTAAATTCCAGAAGGATAATGACTACATCTTTTTGTCTTTACTTTTTGGAAAGCACCTAGCATACTGCCTGGCCCATGGGTACTCAATAAATGTTTGTCGAATAAATCAATGGGTAAATGAGAGAAAAAAAGGAAGAAGGAAGGAAAAAGAAAGAAAGAGAAAGGAAGAAAGGAAAGAAAGAAATGAGTCTATATGCAATGTATACAATTTATGTAGCTTATTCATTGTGCAAAAGTGCCCGACAAAAGTCTGGTGGGGCTAAAATCCAACCTGAGTTATGAATTCTGGCATGAGGCTGCATCTACCTGGAACAAAAGGCACCATTTTGTAATTTTCACAAAGGTTGCATATGTGCTGGCGGAAGGGTTGGCAACTTTGGAGCTGTGTCCTCCCTATGCTCAAAGTTCTATGTAATAAAATCCTCATATACCCCCTTCTCTAATTTTGACTTCTTTTCTGGGCTTGCGATTAACAGAGGTTTCCATGACAATAAATATCTACTAGACAGGTAATTTTTTCACCCTTTTTTGCCCCCCTGTCTAGGGTCTTAGGAAAAAAGCCTGCCTGGATTGATAAATTAATTAGAACCCTTCTGCGTGTAGCGAATGCTAATGTGATTGCCGTGGACTGGATTTATGGATCTACAGGGATCTACTTCTTAGCTGTGAAAAATGTGTTTAACTTGAGCCTCGAGATCTCCCTTTTCCTCGATAAACTCCTGGTAGGTGCAGAAGAGCTTAGGGTGAGTTTGGGCTGCATATGAGGAGATAGGATCAGAAAGACAAAAGCACTGCCTGAGGAGGCTTAGGGTGGAAGCAGGGTCACTTGCTGGCTTGGTGGTCTTGGGTTCAAATCTTGACTTTGCCACTCACAGTGCTAATCTTGGGCAGGTTGAATTGAATGTTCTGAGGTTTATTGAATGTGCTGAGCCTCCCACTGCTCCTCTGTAAAATGTGTCATGGCATATTAAACAGCAAATGCAGATGGCCTGCCACTTAGCTGTCCCTCAAGAGAGAATGGCCATGGTTGTTACTCACATACTTTGAGCACCAAAAGGAGAGTAAAGGGGTTATCAGGGTGGGGAGCCCAGGAAGAGAAAAAGTAATTAATGATGACAGTGCTGTCATTTTTCCCTCCAAAGTAAGTGCGGTGGGTGTGTCATGCCCAGGGGCCTTGGCTTCTGAAGCTTGTGGGGAAAGCCTGCCCTGTGAAGCCAGCAGACCCTGTGGCCCACGGGGAACTCACTTGTCCCTTGTCTTCTAGGTTCTGGGAGTGTCAAAATCCTCAATCCACATCATTGGTGTTAGCCTGGGGGCCCACGTTGGTGGCAAAGTGGGACAGCTCTTCAGAGGCCAGCTGGGACAGATCACAGGTAACATTCCTCCCTGCCCATCCTCCAGGCTTTAGAGATAGAGAAAGCTTGCCCTGAAAATGTCTCTTTTGAGGCAAGCAGAGGGGTGTATGGAGCCTTTGTTCTTATGATCAAGTCACCTATTAACACTAAAATTTATTTATTTTCGTTATTTTGCATAAAATGGTGTTGTGTTATTATTGCATGATCTCTGACATCAATGTGAGAGGCCATGTATTTCTTTTTTTACTTTTTATTTTTTAATTTCTTTTCTTTTTTTAATATTTTTATTTTTTATTGCATTTTAGGTTTTAGGGTACATGTGAAGAACACACAAGATTGTTGCATAGGTACACACGTGGCAGTGTGATTTGCTGCCTTCCTCCCCTTCACCTACATCTGGCATTTCTCCCCATGCTATCTCTCCAACTCCCCACCCCCCACTGTCCCTCCCTCATTTCCCCCCAACAGTCCCCATTGTGTAGTGCTCCCCTCCCTGTATCCATGTGTTTTCATTGTTCAACACCCGCCTGTGAGTGAGAACATGCGATGTTTGATTTTCTGCTCCTGTGTCAGTTAAAAACGTATTTTAGATTCAGGTGTTACATGTGCAGGTTTATTACATGTATATAGCGTGTGATGCTGAGGTCTGGGCTTCTGATGATCTCATTGCCCAAGTAGCAAACAGTACTTGATAGGTAATTTTTCAACCCTTTCCCCTTGTTCCTCTTTCCCCTTTTGGAATCCCCGGTGTCGATTTTTCCCATCTTTGTGTCCATGTGCGCCCAGTGTTTAGCTCCCACTTATAAGTGAGAACATGCGGTGTTTGGTTTTCTGTTTCTGCATTAATTGGCTTAGGAAAATGGCCTCCAGCTACATCCACGTTGCTGCAAAGGACATAATTTCATTCTTTTTTATAGCTGTGTAGAATTCCATAGGGAATATGTACCACATTTTCTTTATCCAGTCCACCATTGATGGGCACCTGGGTTGATTCCATGTCTTTGTTATTGTGAATAGCGTGGCAATGAATATACTAGTGCAGGTATTCTTTTGGTAGAATAATTTCTTTTCCCTTGGGTATATATCCAGTAATGGGATTGCTGGGTCAAATGGCAATTTTATTTTAGTTCTTTGAGGAATCTTCAGACTGCTTTCCGCCCACCAACACTGTATAAGTATTCCCTTTTCTCTGCAACCTTGCTAAAATCTGTTTTTTGGTTTTTGTTTTTTTACTTTTTAATAATAGCAATTCTGACTGGTCTGAGATGGTATATACCATGATGTGATGATTAGTGATGTTGAGCATTTTTTCATGTTTGTTACCCACTCACATGTCTTCTTTTAAGAAGTCTCCTTTCATGTCCTTTGCCCTCATTGTAATGGGGTTATTTGTTTTTTTCTTGTTGATTTGTTCAAGTTCCTTATAGATTCTGGATATTAGTCTTTTGTCAGATGCATAGTTTGTGAATATTTTCCCCCATTCTGTAGGTTGTCTGTTTACTCCATTGGTTGTTTCTTTTGTTGTGCAGAAGGTCTTTAGTGTAATTAAGTCTCATTTGTCAATTTTTGTTTTTGTTGTGTTTGCTTTTGAGAACTTGGTCATAAATGTTTTGCCTAAGCCAATATTCTGGAGAATGTTTCCCAGATTTTCTTCTAGGATTTTTTTTTTTTTTTTTTTTTTTTTTTTTTTTTTTTTTTTTTTTTTTTTTTTTTT